TTGCCACTGATTTGTAAATCATAATGTGAATATATAACAAATAGAAACTATGTTGATTTAGTTTCTTATGGGTATTTAATTTGTGTTTAAATAATAGGGAGTACATCTAAGCTTACATACACATTGCCAGCAGTGAGCTAAAGCCCAGACCCACCAATTTAATTCCACACACTGGAATCCTGTTAAATCGATCTAATAATTTAATCTGTTTATGCTGCATGTTACAAACGGCTTTAGCAAACAGCCGTTTCCTTTTTTCACATAACATTTTTCAAAATCATCTGTCTTAAAAATTATCTTTTGAAGTTTAAAATTTAAAAAATTTGAAATCCATATGTTATAGTTTCAAAAAAACCAAAAAGAAAAGAAGTACTTGTGGCACCTTAGAGACTAACCAATTTATTTGAGCATGAGCTTTCGTGAGCTACAGCTCACTTCATCCACTCACCCTTTCAAAGACACATACACAATCTGTTTATTTTAAACTGAGCATATTTTATCTCATTTAAGATATATTTACACAGCATCTGGGAATGAGCCTCCTATCCTGGGCCCATACTAGTGGGGCTTGTGCTGGCATGCTAAAAATGGTAATATAGACATTCTGGCTTGGGCTGTCAGCCTGGTGGGAGGAGGAGGGCTTTAGAGCCTGAGCTCCAGCCCAAATTGCACTGTCAAAGCAATTTCTACACAGCTATTTTTGGGCAAGCCGTTAGAGACAATAGATATAGAAGCTCCTGGTGTCATTCTAAAAACAACACTTTTCAAAGTATGGCTGCAGTTTAATGGCCAAATTCTCACTTTTATACCTTAAGGGGCAAATGCAGCCCTCTCACATCGACAGCTGCCCGGAGCCTCAGTGCATAGGAATTGGTGTAGTTTCACTGCATGGGGCCAGAGACAAAGGCATGCATGGCTCCTCCACTCCCCAGCTACAGGGGTACTGCATCTCTGCATTGCACCTCAGCTTGGGAAAGGATTTCTCATTCATGCGTCTTCCCAGTGTCTTCCTGACTTTTTTCACTGTGTGTTTGGGTCTGGATTTTGGCTTAAGGGTTCTTCCCTGCTCCCACAAAGTCGATAGGAGGTCTGTAGGATTGCACCCTAGAACCAACGGTTATTAGTTATATTGCAGGACACCTAAAATAGAAAATGTGATTTGGATATTATTTTTCTTATTTGTTTTATAGTAACACCTAGGAGCCCCAGTAAACCAGGAACACGTTTTGCTAGACGCTGTACAAATGCAGAACAAAAAGATGATTCCTGCACAAAGAGTTTATAATCTAAGTATAACACTGGATACACCAGGTGGATTCAGATGGACAGATGAGGAAAACTCTGTTTTGGAATCATGTTGATGTAGTAGTGACATAAGCTTCACATATGGATGTGAAAGTCATAGCATGTCTTTTTTTAATCCCCCAGAATAAAAAAGCAGCTATGGCAACCCTAACATAGTTATTCTTGTCTTCAAAAATGTGCAGTCAATTATATATCGTCAACTAATGTTTCAAATCCCTAATTTATTTTTTGGCCCTCCTACAGAGCAACCTTTTAAGTGGTCTAGCCCATTTTTCTTTAAATATTGAAAAAAAAATCATTGAAGATGATGTTGATTATCTCAAATTTCACGCCAGAACATGCTTTTGGCTTTGTTATAAACTCCTGACAATAGTGCGTGTTAATAGAAAAATTAGCCTTTAAGGCAAACTCTCTTGAGTTTAGCCAAATGAATGGTGCCATGCTAACTAGGGATCAAGGTCTTTGCCAATTCATTGTCCAATATGATTCTTGCAGGGGGGAAAGTTGATTCTTAAGGACATATGCTCTATATGCTTTCGTGTCCATTCTGGTTTTAAACTTCTTCGAGGCTATTTTGGGAATGAAGAACACAATGCATAGGCTGTTAGCAAAATATGGCAATATGTGAATGGAGTCCTTAGCGAGTGTAGAAAAACTGCAGTCAATCTATAAATCCTTTCCATTCTTTTTGTTGTGCAGGTAGCCCCAAGTATTACAGTATGGGCTTTGGCCCCTTAGCCTTAACTCCTGTTTTAAATCCCATTTCTCATAATATCACATTTCATTATGCATTTTGTAAAATCTTACAGGCAGTTGATTTTGTTAGTAAAAGGAACTGTGAGCAACAGCACACAAAACTTTGACACAACAGACTTTCATGTTTGTTTTTCTGGGATGTGATTTGCAGAGGAGATAGGGCCTGTATCCATAGCGGTCTATACTCCTGAGAACTACTGGTGTGTTAAAATCACCTTTTAAATTTATCCTAGTGTAGCTGATTGGATCCTATGGAACTGACTTTTAAACCTCAATAAGACACATTTTGTAGTGGCTTTATTTCTAGAAAACTCTCACTAACTGTGCATTGAAATGGTCCATTCACACAATTATTTCACAGGAACAGATCAGATCCATTTTCACAGTGAATCTTGCTAATCTGATGTTATGTGTGTCCAGTTAATCTCTATCTATTACAACAAGTACTATCCTATTGAGAAATTTACTTCTGAACATCTACAAAGCCTTCACTTCCTGCGGTGCTAAACATACTGTCTTACATCGTGATATACCATTCAGTTCTATAGCATTGAAACAGAAGCACAGGAAATATGCCAGTGCTCTACTAATAAAGAGGCTAATGTAATCTGTTGACTGTCTTGGAAGCCTTTCTTGGACACTTCAGCCTTTTCTCTGCTATAGTACCACTTGAAAGCATTGGCCAAAACAGTTTCAAGATACTCAGTTGCCATGGAATGCATGTTTGCAGTGTTGTTGTAGCCATGTTGGTCCCAGGGTAGGAGAAAGACAAAATGGGTAACCAACTTCTGTTGGTGAAAGAGACAACCTTTCTTCTTTGTGAAGCTTGAAAGCTTGTCTCTTTCACCAACAGAAGCTGGTCCAATAAGAGATATTATCTCACCCAGTTTGTGTGTCTGATGATTTAATGCATAATCACTCCAGTTTAATACTGCAAGAGTGTAATACTTGAGAGATGCACGAGTCAGGAAGATTGAAATAATATACAAAGGTTCTATTTTCTTTTCTTTTTCTTTTGCAAATAAGTCTTCATTAACTTTCTTCTGGAAGGTACATAATCCGTTGGGTTCAAGTCTATTTGAATCCAGAGGTAAAGAAAGGACTTAAGGGGATGACTACCCTGCCGCTGGGAGGTCTGACTCTCAGCCGGTATAGATGGACTCATTCTAGCCCAAGCTGCCACCAGTGGCACAAACATCCACACTGCTATTTTAGTACACTAGCCCAAGCAGCGTGTTGCACCATGTGTAGTCATTCACATCACACCTGTGAAAAGTGGGTGTTAAAAGCTAACATTCTTAATTCTTAGCACTTTGAACCTGATTTGCACAAACAAGAAGGTGGGAGGCAGTGAAAAATCAGGTCCAATTTGAGTTTTTGCCTGAGTTAAAAACTGTAGGATTTGACCCTGTGTGTGTGCACTAATGGGCAAGAGTCCTATAGACAATTATGTACGTCTTTTACTACACACAGCATTGATTCGTAGCAGTGATGCTAGAGGTATTTTGGTGAGTCCAAAAATACTGGAATGATACCCAGTTACCAGTTGAACCTTAGCAAGGATTTCTTCTGTAAATTTCAGTGCTGCTAGGATATAAACACAGAAAGACTGAGATAATAATTTTTAATAGACCCTAAAAAATACATCAGGTTGTTGTTTCTTTTCACTCATACAGTTCAGGCACTGAGCTGGTAATCTAGTCTACTCATCTGTAACCTGTGTGTTCCCACAATCCATTGCAGTCATTAAACCTGAAAATAGTTCTAGACGTGTATTCTTTTAAAAAGTCAATCGCAAAACTATCTTTGAAATAATTAAGCTTGTATCCTGTTAATAGTAGTTAAAAAAGTGTAGGAAGTCAATGTAGCAGCTTAAATAGACCAGTCATTGTGTCAACTAACTACAAGTCTAAATTCTGTTAACAAAATTAATCAAATTCAGATGCAGCATCCAAACCCATAGAGGTAATAGTCCCCAGACAAAACAGTTTAAATCTGCACAGTACAGCGTATTGTGTACTTTCCATTAAATTCACTGAGCTATCCAGATATTTAGGAACAGGAAGTGGGAGTCCTAAGGAAAGACATGGCACTTTCTCTCTAGTTAGTTCTTAAGGATTAAACTTGCTTTTGTGAACAGTAGTAAAAGGAAAATGACATACAGCTTGTATATATTCTTGAATACTGTATGCGTCATAGGGTCTCCAGTAGTTATACAATTTTATAGCTCATTAAAGTTTCACAATAGAGGCCAAAAAAAGATTAAGTGGTATTTAAAGGATCTGGTTAAAGAAAACATTTTGTTAAATATTATAGTAAAATATAATGTTTTATTTTTCATATCTTTAAAGTGAATATAGCACTCCTGAAAGATGTCAAAATATAGAAAGACTGAAATTCAATTTTCATAGTAGTGGTATATCACTGGGCTGCAGGCTTTTCAGTACTACCCATCTATGTCTCAGTTGTGATTAAGGGATAAGAGTGGGTGGGAATGTAATTCTACCTCCATAACTATGCAGTAGTTTTTCTCCCTGCTATGAATACCACCCAGGGTGATGGTTGGGTCTGTGTTTGTACACATCTGTTCTCTTGGAACTGGACTGAGACTTTTTGAGAGCCATCGGATTTGAATGTTGATTCTAGGGCAGTTTACTCTCTCCACTAAATAACTTTAGGATCTACAAAATGACTTTTGATCAGCCAAACAATGTGCTGGAATATTTGCACAAGAAGACACTACTAGGAATGAATCACTTATACTGTAATTACATGGCACCAAGACATTCTGTCACAGTTGTAAAAATTACTTACTGTTTCACTCTGGGAGGTGTACTCTCCAACACTTTTAAAAGAATGGTGTCCAGTTAACTTAATATTTCAAGCCAATGCAGAATTAGAAGTAACAAATGTTTCCTTTGTTTTTTCAATCTATACAGTGTGAAGGGAGCCGATGCTGGCAACGTGATCAGAGTGTTTGTACCAGATATCGGGATGTTCATTGCTAGCTTGACCATATGGCTTGTCTGCAGAAACCTTGTGCTGAAGCCAGTGACAGAGGATGCAGCACAGTACAACACACAATTTGAAAATGAAGAAATGGTATTAGATGCACATTTATACCTGTATAATGTTTATTATTATTATTATTTTATTATTTATTATGTATTTGTATTATAGTACAATAGTACCTAGGAGCCGTAGTCATGAATCCCATTGTGCTTACTATCCTTAATCTCATGGGGTTGGAGATCAATACCCTTTCACGCACTGAATTGTATCTTACTCTGTGAGCAATCTTGCTGATTTTATTTTACTGCCCGATGTGGAATAAAACCCTATTCAGCATGAGGAAGGGTATCAGCATTTGGTGCTTAACCACCAAGAATCTCTCATGTGGTGTGTTTAACTTAATTCAGGAGTGATGGAGTGTGACCTTAACGACGTCTGATTATGAAAAAATCTTAATTTTATGAAATCTTTTTTTATATAATTTTTATTTCAGAAGGTGTATGTGTTATCTTTGTTTTTTTTTTGCTGCTTACATCAATTCCATGCCCTGAAAACAGAGAGAGCACTGAGAGTACATAGTCATTTAGATAGAACAATTCCCATTCTGCCAATACACAGAACAAAAAGACAGTCCCCATTCCAAAGAGTTTATAATGTAAATATAAGATAAGAGTAAGAGACAACATATGGAGACAGACAGACAGGGAAATATAAGGAAATAACTAGACAGTATTGGTCAGTGTGACTTTTAGTTAATACTGTGTTTTGAGGACCTTGTCTGAGCTAAATTTGGAAAATATCTCACAAGTGTATTTAAAAGTGACCTTGGTTTCATAAAACAAAAACGAATGAATCTTAAGAAGAAAAACATACCAAAATCATTGTCTTAAGGAAGCAAAATGGAAAATTAAAAATTGAATAATTTTTGATTGACCAAAGATTCAAACGTTGCATTAGGGTCTGAATTATTCAAATGTTCAGGGTCTTCAGATCCAGAGTTTTGATTTAGCCCATTATGGTGACAAACCAGCCAGACATTTGGATCTGTTTCTTTTCCAAAGTTTGAGGGTACTCAGAACTGGGTGTTTTTTTTTCAGAGTCACTACTAGGTATTTTGCAAAATTGCTTGAGATTGCAACTTTTGTCTGTATTTCCCAAAGCCTAATGTCCATGACCAGCAGCATCTGAAAGGGAAGATACCTCATGCACCGTGCTTTTTGGAAAGAGATTGTTAAATTTGTGAATAATTTTGTTGCCTTTGCCTACTCTGGGTATATAGTGACATCATGGGAGCAGATGGTGGCAGAAAGATTAAAGTAGAAAATTCCCCTAAAGCTAGAGAAACAAATTAACAAAGAAATACAAATATTGGGAGTCTGCACGTTGCTGTGCTGGCTGCAGCGAGGCTGATGCATTTATGGAATGTATCACTGAGTGTCGGTGTTTGTGGGGATTTTGAAGGATTCATAATTTTTTGCACATTGGCCCCATTTGTATTAATTTTAATTGATATTTTGGATTTATGCTTTGGATGAGTGTGTTGAACCAGGAAACCTAAATAAATAAATACACCAGTTCTTCAACACTGCACTGGCTTGCAGATTACCATGTTTTAGGAAGCACACTGGACTGGGTCTTTAATTGGTTTAAATTGTTGCATCTCACCCTGCAAATAAAAGCATCTGAAAAAGTGGTAAGTCCAGCACAATGCCACAAAGTGAACAGTCTGGGGGTTTATTGTACCAGCAAGTGAAGCAAATTCCATAGCTGAGGAACTTCTGCCAGGAATCCCTGCCACCCGTCTCCAGACATAACATTAAGAGTGCATCGGTTGATGACCCCAGCTACACAGTGCCTGAGGAAATCGGAAGCCTTTTAGATTACTAGGTTCCAAGCCATAGAGGGCTTTATAAATCAAAAAGTCAACACCCTGAACTGCACTCAGAAGCAAATAGTATGCCCTGCAGCTTTACCTATTTAGGACAGGTAGTCATATACATAGAACAGTTCCCATGTACTCTCAGTGCTCTCTCTGTTTTCAGGGCATAGAATTACATGATGGTAAGCAGTGTAAAAAACAAAGATAACACATCTACCCTCTGAACTAAAATGTAAATATAAAAAGATTTGATAAAATCAAGATATTTATCAGATGTTGTTAAGGTCACACTTCACGCCATCACTCCTGAATTAAGTTAAACACATCACATGAGAGATTCTTAGGGTGGTAAGCACCAAATTCTGATATCCTTTCTCATGCTGAGTTGTGTTTTATTCCACGGGCAGTAAATCTGTAAAGTAAAATCAGCGAGACTGCTCACAAAGTAAGACATAATTCAGTGCGTGTAAGGGTATTGATATCCAACCGTAAGGGATTAAGGATAGTAAGGATCAATGAAAATATGGAAATCCTGATTCATAATAGTGCATCCAACTTTCAGAGAAACAGACCTGCACCAGAACAAAAAAAATGTACAGTATTGTGAAGCGCTGGAAAGGGGATGGGAGGCACACAATTATTTGTAAGTAAAGCTGTCCCAGTAATAAGCATAGAGTGTGGTTTTAATGAGCAGTGAGTCATGAAGTAGAAAGGTTTGCCAGGTACCAGGCTGCAGTCCAGCTCATTACCACCCCTAAATGGTTGCACACTTGGAGCAAATGTGTCTGCAGGCCTTTTTTATTAGGCCTCAGAAAATCTAAAGCAGGTGAATTCAGCTGGAGAAGGGCCGAGACTGCAAACTCAGAGAAGCACAATGCCAGTCAAAAAGTATAAAAGATGAGGGGGGCAGGGAGAGAAAAGAAAAGAGGAAAGTTAACTTCCCAGCTGTGTCTGAAAGTAAACAGTTACTGAAGCAGATGGTGATTTTATGTGTCAATGTGCAGAGACAGTATATACAGTTTAATAGATATTAGAAAAAAAAAAGTTGTTTTTCTTGAGACTGTGGATGACTATGCCAGTCAGCTTAGGTTTATGGAAAATAGATCCTGTCAAACTAACTTGATACCTGTTTTGGATGAGATGACGAGTTTGGCTGATAACTGTAATAGTGTTGATACATAGACTTCTGTAAATCATTTGGCTTAGTATCATATGGCATTTTGATTACAAAATCTAGAACAATACAAAATTAACATGGTACACAGTAAAGGACTAAAAGCTAGCTAACTGACAGGTTTCAAAATGTAATTGTCAATGGGGAATCATCATTAAGTACGTGTGTTTCTAGAGGATCCCACAGGGATCAGTTCATGGCCTTATATTTAATATTTTTATCAACACCTGGAAGAAAACATAAAATGGTTGCTGATAAAGTATGCAGATGACACAAAGATTTGGGGAGCGGTAATAATGAAGAGGACCGGTCACTGACTGGTAAACTGTGTGGAAACAAACAATATATGTCTTAATGCAGTCAAATATAAAGTCTTACATCTAAGAACAAAGAATAAAGGCCATACTTACAGCCCTGGGAAAAGGTGACTCTGAAAAAAGACTTGGAGGTCATGGTTGATAATCAGCTGAACATGGGCTCCCAGTGCACCACCCCAGTCAAAAGGGCTAATGCAATCTTTGGATGTATAAACAGAGGACTCTTGAGTAGGAGTAGGAAGGTTATAATACTGCTGTACGTGGCACTGGTGTGACCACTACTGAACTACTGTGTCCAGTTCTAGAGCTCACAGTTCAAGAAGGATGTTGATATATTGGAGAGGGTTCAGAGAAGAGCCACAAAAATGATTAAAGAATTGGAAAACATACCTTATAGTGATAGACTCAAGTAGGTCAACATAGAACGGCCATACTGGGTCAGACCAATGGGCCAGCTAGCCCAGTATCTTGTCTTCTAATAGTGGCCAGTGCCAGATGCTTCAGAAGGAATGAACAGAACAGGGCAATTTGAGTGCAGTATTCAATCTATTTGGCTTAATAAAGAGAAGGTTAAGGGGTGACTTGATTACAGTCTGTAAGTACCGACATGGGAAACAAAAATTTGATAATGGGCTCTTTAGCCTAGAAAACAAAGGTATAAAAAGGTCCAATGCCTGGAAGTAGAAGCTAGACAAATTCTGACTGGAAATAAAAAGCAGTTTTTTAACAGTGAGGGTAATTAATCATTGGAACAATTTACCAAGGGTTGTGGTGGATTCTCCATCACTGGCAATTTTAAAATAAAGATTAGATGCTTTTCTAAAGGATATGCTCTAGTTCAAACAAGAATTAATTCAAACAAGACCTGTGTTTATACAGGAGGTCAGACTAGATGAACACTTATGGTGCCTTCTGGCATTATAATCGCTGAATCTATGGATTGTCTAGTATCGTAAGTGACTGAAAAAATCCCTGGAAGACTGCATAACTTAAACTTTACCCGATGGGGTGATCTTAATTGGAATGTACATTTTTAGTTTTGCTCTCATTGTACTTATCACCTTTCCCCTCAAACTTTATTCTTGTCCATGATACTTAAAATCCTAAAAACCCCTGGTCTGTGCTTTAGGTCAAAGTATCTGAGCCAGGTTTAGGCTCAGACTGTCCCTGACTCTCAATTTGGAATCTCAAAAATGTTTGATGAAAAGGTTCTTAAATAAAGAAAAGTTTAGAAAATGAAAGTCATCAAGGAAGGATAGTCTTGTGTTCATGGCACTGTAATGGATTCAGGAGATCTGGGTCAATTCCCGGGTATGCCACAAATCTCTTTTGTGGCCTCAGGTCAGTCTCGTAATTTCTCTATACCTCAGTTCTCCATCAGTAAATGAGGATAATAAAGCTTCCTTTCTCCCACCCTTTGCCTGTCTCATACACTTGAATTGTAAGCCATTTAAGGCAAGGACTGTGTTTTACCATGTGTCTGTCAGCACCTAGCACAATGGAGAATCAGTTTTCATTGGGCCCTCTATGAATGATAATCCAAGGCAAATGGTATGAAATATACTGAGGTCTAAAACTGTCCCATGCCTCACCTAAGGCATCCAAAACCTTTAAAACTACATTGGAACATAGGGGTTGCCATACAGGATCAGACCCAAGGTCCTTCTATTCCAGTATCTTGTCTCTGACAGTGGCCAGGACTAGATGTTTTAGAGGAATT